AATCCCTCGGCTGTTCGTGCTTTCCTTCACCCGCTAGCAGCTTCGCTTGATTATTATTTCACTAATCACGCGACATTTCAGACCTTTCTGATTCCCAACATCTTTCATTATGTGTTCAAGTAGTGGGTTGAGGCGCCACTTACTATCTGTTGTCGCTGTTGGATCAGAACTGTTGAGAGCTGGCATTTCTCTCCTCTTTCCAAGATCGCAGAACTGGTAGCTGAATAGCTTGAGAGTAGAAGACTACGAGTTTGTATTTGAAGTGGCCTGTAGTGCTACGGAAGCTGGAACTTATCTGTAGACTCACTTCTACTGGTTCAACTAAAACGTGTATACAACTCTGAAGTGCTGCTGAAGACATGGCGCACACCAGAAGGGTTGATCTGCTTCTTTTCTTCGCGAAGTTTTGCTCCCTAAATTTCATTTGTAGGCTTTTGCTTGATCACACCCCTCCGGCCAGCAAATCAGCAAATTGAAGCCGTCAGTATCGATTTGCAGATTCCCTCACACTATATCTAGGTTCCACCTCCTATTGAACTGATCTGTCGAGGAAAAGAAGTAGGCGGGGCGTGCATGAAAATGGGCGGAGAAAATCCGCTACCGAGACAGCCAGCAAGTGGGAAAAGCGATCTCTCTAGACTCTCTGTGGCATCGAAGGACATCGGGTTATCGGCTTAGAATTCAGAAATCCCAAGAAGATTCAATTTCATCACATGTTTACCAGTTTGTTTACCTCGCGTTCCATAGACATTAGCTCTGATAGCATTTCCGTTCATACTGGTCCCTGCGAGCGACAGTATAGCATTCGTAAGACGATACGACACCTGCAAGATGGTATAGACCGGTGTTAGCTTGCTATCTCTCTGTGTTCTGACGACACTATTCCCCGGAGGCTCTGAAGTATCTGTGGATGCTCCCAAATATGAAATAGATTCCCCTGGTGGCCCGACCACAAACAACCCATGCAATAGACTCGCAAAATTACTTCATATCCCAATGTGAGCATAGAAATAGAAGAAACTCCAGCAACATAAGGGATGGCCAAGTGAAAACAAAGTCGTTTGCCGATCGAAGCATAAGCCCGATTTGTTTATGAGGTTTTCTCGACGCAACACACGCTTGATATTTTCTATTAATGGCTGATTTTCGCTGAAACACCACATTTCTGCCTTCAATCCGACCATGCCCAGAAGGTTTTTCCAGTTCATCGCTCCAAGGTAACCATTTTCTTGATCACCGTTGTGGTTGTAGCCATTTGTCTTGTCCCACACTACGTTTTCAGAGGCCCTGGGTGAATTGTTATCGCCCAAAACGACTTGCACACGGAACGTTGACAAATTGTTATGTCCCACGCCCCATATCCCAGACTGAGGACCACTGGCGCCATTTGGACGGTCCTCTTGTCGCTTTGTGTTTGGTCATCAGACCTCTCAATAGCCGATTATCACCGTATTTACTCACTCGCCAGGGTCGTTTACGTAAAGGAAAACATCAGCTAAGCGCGGGTTGGTCCTAACTTCTGAGGACCCCCCACACTTCTTGGTGTTCGCTCATAAATTTGACCCGTCGTCGGGTGCGAAATGGCATTACCGGCACGAACTTTGTGTGTGTGAGTGTAAATCGGCCAAGTGCAGCGAATAATGACATCAACTGCCGCCCTCACTCTACGACGACGCTGCGGTGACGGCAAAGAGGAAGCAGCAGCTAGCCGGGCCGGCCAGTGCTTGCTCTTTGCTCATCTCGTCGGAGAATGACCGCCACCCGAATGAATCCGATCTCGACCAACCCGTAACTACGAAATGGCCACTACTACTCAGGAAATGAATCTCCAGAGTGAATTTCATTCAAGACGTTTCCACGTAATGACCCTTTCTGATGTACAACGAGCAAAAGACTTCCATTCGTAATGGCCCTTGAAAGTTTGTTTGCCCACTAGAACAAATTGAGACCATTTCAGTGCTCCGATTTGCCCAAACAAGCCTAGAAATGGGTTTCTCAATAGAGGTTTCCAACTCCGGAAAAAAGGCAAATTCTTGATAAAAACCTTCGTTTTGTGGTAGGGCAGGTATACTAGTATCATTTCCTACTTGGAGCCTACTTACTGTTGAAGTGTAGGTGGAGTAATGGCACATGGCGCATTGCCAGACCTTTGACTAGGGGATTGAAATCCTGACCGATACCGACCTGAGCCGAACCAAGTCCTAATCTTCCGGTTAATTAATTGGTCGTAGAGGGGTTTGGGAAGATAAAAACCTTGGTTTGAACCTACCCACCTGGCTAAGTACACATTCAAACGGCACCACGCTTCAGAATGGAAGTCGAATAGTTGGCGCTTCCCAAGATTTTTCCCCTTTATGGCAAGTGGATTTTACTATTTAGGCAAAATGCCTACACATGTCGGTCACCCTTTGTATCAGACCACAATCCAAATAAAAAGGCCTGGAATCAGATTGAGAGCTGAGGGCAGTTGCTAAGCAAGCCAGTCTTGGCTAAATGGACCAGTACCAGTCTAAGGTAGCTATCTTGGGATTCTTGAAATGCTTGGAGGTATCCTGTTGCGCCTCGCTGGGCAGATGTTCTGCTGAACAGAAATAATCTGGTTTGCCTTTGGAAGATTAGATTCGAAAAAGTTGCGATATTCCCTATGAGAAGACGTCAATACTTGTTTTTCGGTTTTCTCGAATTTTCTACCGTATCCCTATCAAGAAAAGTTTACTAAGTGGCTACATTCAAAACAAGTTTGGCTGTAAAGTAAAAGAACAATTGGAATAAAGGAACCGAAACAAAGGTGACCCACCGAACGTGCATAGGTACCTTTTATCATCATTCCGTCCTTTCTGAATAGGACCGGTAGTACGTGACGGTTGCATTTCCCAGAACTCGCACAACGATGTCTATGTTCGCTAAGTGTTTTCACTCCTGGATGCCAGAAAAAAGGTCAAAATTTTTAACAATTTTGGTCTATTATGCTATTATGCTATTTCCACTTTATTTTTAGTATCAAATTGTTTTTATTACCCATGGGTAGCCAATTCTTATTTTTGTTCTTATTTTACATCTATTTTTTATAACAATTACCCCTTTATGCTTGATCCATTGGGAGAAGTAGATTCTCTTTTCAGCTATTCAACCAAAAATGGCACAGGCCCGAATTCAACTCCTAGTCGATCTCTAGAGTACTCCACCCAGGTTCTGCCTTCATCATGGTATGACATATCAGAACCACTAGTATGGTAACTATCCGGGCTAGACCTATCCAAGAGCTTCCTGATCCTCAATGGATACCGAGAGTGTCACCTATCCCAGCAAACAAGTCGACTCACCAAACTCATTCTTCAATCTTTTTTCTAACCATATGAGATTGATAAGGGCGGAGGTGGTGTAGTGGCAAGTGGCGCACTATATCACACGCACGGTCAGGGGTTCGAATCCCGGATCGATGCCCGCCCAGGCCAACCAAGCCTTCCATCCCTCCGGGGTCGGTGAATCGGTACCAGACTCGTCTGGGAGGANACTCGTCTGGGAGGATAAAAGCAATGACTTGTACATCGGCTGGCCACCGCAAGTCATTGTATAGGCCACATACGCACTCATTACGTCACTACGATTCTGAATGGAAGTCGAGTGCGGGGGCGCATCCCTCAGACGGGATTGATTAACGCCAAAAACTTTATCCTTTTATCCTTTATGAGATTGATACATCTTTATTTGACTTTTGAGAAATTCTCAGATTGACTTTGGAGGAGTTGATAGAGTAATGTAGTAGGTGAGTTAAGTGAAAGACTTTCATAAGGGTGACTGCAAATTGATAATCGAGTGAAGCCTACAGTGTAGGCTTACACTACAGGGCCTAAAAAGGTGTTTGAGGGCTGAGTGGGCACTTTATGGCCCTTTTTCATTCGTAAGAACATTCAGCTCAATGTCGCTGTATGCTTGGGTATGTACGTATTCCGGAATGTGAATGGAAAGGGTTCTTCTGGATATTTTCGAGAGGGCCATGGAATAGAAGAAATTCTAAAAATTCAGAGCTGGAAGAATTCACGATTCGCTTAACTCGTGAAAACAGTTTCTTGGAAGAAAGAATTACGTCCTGCCATAAACTTATTTTCGGGAGAAAACGCATTGCTTGTCGCATTTCAATTTTTTCCACTGAATTCGGGCCATTTTTTCTGGTCAGTGCGCAAAAGTTTCATCCTCTCTAGAAGTCGCTAGGAGTCTAGCATTCTGCCTTCAATCACAACAATTTCTCAAAGTCTTGATCTGATTGAGGTTGCTCAGTTTCTGGTTCTCAGTTATGTAATATGCAGCAACAAGTTTTCCTCTTTGAAGTTAACATAACCGGTTTTCAATGGCCTCTCTACAAAGCCTATCACTAAATGGTAGATTCCGGTTTAGATGAGCCTAATTTGTGTTCAGAAAGCGCCTCGAAATGATAATTACATCAGGTTTGTAGTAGCGTTTACAAGTTTTGATCCCAATGGAGTCATCCCTTTGAGGGCTTTTTGATTCCTCGGATCCAGCACTGCAACTGCTCGGACTGGCTTAATCCTCTTTCGGGCCTTTTTTCTTTTTTTTCTTCTCTTCCCTCTTCATTTTTTTGACTTTTTTTCCTGGCAGCACCTGCGCGGTCGCGGGATACGGTACTGGGGCTCAGCTTACAAGGCAGAGGACGGAGTTCTAAGAAATCTCTGCGAGCTTTTTTTTTTACCTGCGGGCACTCAGCTCATTACGGGAGGAGGAAGAGGCTCTGCAAATTGAGCAAAGTCACCAAGCAGGCCTACCAAATTTGGTTAAACTGGTTGTTCTGTTTTGGTCCATTCTGGGAGTCGAGGACTTCCCTGGATCCTATCGAAGTGTGTACGTCAAAGTGACTGCTGAATGACGTCTAACGAGTAACAGCAGACGCCGCTTCATGGTTTCCTCTCATTCTCTCCACCCTCAACATCCCCTTCAGACGTATTGCTACCTCCTCCCAACGCTGTGTCCACCCGGTGTCCGTCATGTCATCTCGAGACAATGGTGTCTATCCAAAACGGAGTTCCACAATGGCATTGGCTGTACTTTTTGAATACTACGAGAAGTAAGTAATTTTCTGTAATCATACCTCTTATTAGGTCGGTCGCCACTTGGGTGCAATCATGGTCAGCTACTGTCATAAGGTGTGGACATATTTTTGTATGATTGACGATTATTCACCCATTTTGATGATGCCCGAACAATTCATCCTCGACGAACGACGAATGAGGTAGTCTCCCCCCTTCCAAGGTCGATCGAGCGCGGTTCGTTTTTCCGGTTTCGGAGTGCGCACGAGCTATGTGGTGTGCGGCAATTACCCGACGTTGACCTCGAAAAATCTGTATCGCTACCACACTAGTACGTATTCACGCTCTGACAGATTATTGAAAAAGAGCTGCTGTCGGTTGTGAGCGTGTTCGCGTGAGAGTACGGTTGTCCTATGGATGAATTTGGCTGTCAGAGGCATGCTTCGCTAGAAAAATGATCGCCGAGAGGAGTTTTGATAAGTGAGACGGCGTAGGAGACCGCGGATCGATACACGCCCAGGCAAACCTAGCCTTCGGTCCCTCTCGGGTAGATTAATCGGTACCAGAATCTTCCTGGAGGATAAAAGCAATGGTAGCACATTGGCTAGTCACCGCAAGTCATTGTTCAGGCTCATACCCATTCAAACACCTCTACGATTCTGATTGAGAGGCTAATGCTGGAGCATACCCCAGGAAGGGGGTTTATTAATGCCGGGAACTTTGGTTTTTTAGATCAGGAGACAAAAAATAAAGTACAAGGGAGTGTGGCCAGAAAACCAAGCCAACTATTTCCACTGCCAGCTGCATAGCGATAATTGTCAGAGAACAATTTCCTCCCGACGAAAATGGAATAGACTGGAGCAGGAAGAGCTCATCAAGATGGCCTCAGTCTAGTCCGTTGTCATCCATTACGCTGTTAACTTCCTCAGGCATCTTCTCGCCGTCGGCGGAATGCGAAAGAAGGGGATGTGGGGAATCGCTTTGCATTGGAAAGGAAGTGGTGGGTAGATGGTGATGGGGTATGGCGAATATGTAGTGGTGAACATGAGCGTGAGGCAAAATTTTGATCGTTATCGTTCCCCCCCGTATGGTGAACCGGACGGACGTACATACATACATGGGGTGGGGGATGGAACGACATTCCGATAGCGCTCTTCTACGCTCTACCGCTGTTGCCGCCGTTGCATATGGGCTGCCCTTTTGAGTCGATCCAACTGCTCAGTAGCTGCTCGTTCCTTATGCATTTTCTAGTATCAGGTCTTGGGAAATAGCCTTTGAGATGTCATTCGTCGACCCTGCCAGTTTCCTTTGAGATTTAATGTCAAATCATCATCACAGCTTAACTATCTCCATCATTCCTTCTTCCCTTTGAGTTATGTCAGATTGTTTCTGACACAATCAGGGCTATTTAGCCTAATTGCATTGATTCCAGCTTATTTTGGCCTGTTCCCAGCCTCCCAATCGAGTCAGGTAGTCGATGTGGATTTGATTTATTGCTTTGTTCCACATCAGCGGCCTATGGGATTTCACCACTCNCGATGTGGATTTGATTTATTGCTTTGTTCCACATCAGCGGCCTATGGGATTTCACCACTCCTCTTTTTGATGTTGTCTGAGAAACTTTCAGGAATCAATACCGTTCTGATAGGGGGCTCGGTAGGACTCAATGTTTGACCGTATCTACCCTCAATGCTGCACTGCATCAAAAGAAACGTTGACATTCACGTGCACTGGTCTTACATCTACAAAGGGTACCTAAACTTGAAGTAAAGTACTAAAGATCGGAGATCGGGTCTTAGTCTGCCACCTACAATGTTGCTTCAGAGCCATTCAGATTTTTGCTCACTGATGTTCACTATGTGATTAATTTCACATTCAGCCACGCTTTCTGGGATGGGCCTCGCACTCGGCTCTAATTCGGGCTCGTAGTGGCGTTTTAAAGATGTAGCGATGTAGTGTATGTAATCTGAACAATGACATACAGTGGTCAGGCGGTGCCATTATCCTCCCAGACAAGCCTGGTATTAATCAAAGACCCCGGAGTATCAAAAGGTTTGGTTGAATTGGGCGGATATCGATCGGACTTGATCACGGGACCGTGAGGGTGTTATAGTGCGCCATTTTTTAACACACCACCCCCAGCGACTCGAAATGATGATAATAATAACGATATTTCTAGTGATAATACAATATCATAATATTGATAATAATAATTCGAATAATAATATTTCTCTTAATCCTTGCTTATAGGCAAAATGAAACTCCAAGTTCTAATTTTTAACTTCTTTTTTTTCTGTGTGATTAATGGGCACACCCCTGAAGTGTATTTGAATAAATAAATAAATAATAATAGCCATAATATTAACACGAAATGTTTCCTCCTAATTTTATTTTTATTAATTTTCGAAGAAAGCTATCCCTTATTTCAGCATTCAGTGAAGTGCTCTTCCACTATGACGATATACACCGATAAGTGCAGGTACAGGTAGAGCGTAGCAGCTCCTATTACACTGATAGGCTAAATTCAGGGACGACAAAATAAATAAAGTAACATAACATATTTACATTACTATACTATAATTATAGTCATTACTATAACTATATTTAACTATTACTTACTATACCAATTGATCCTGTTCGCCTGTGATTTGAGTCTCATCAAGCTGCGTTCTTCTATAGTAGCGATAGATCATAATCGAAAAATACTTTCGATTTTTTTTTAGTTTTACTCATTGGGTATTTAACAAGTGCTGTCCAGAATGACAAGGCACAGGAATATGGAAAGGTAAATATTTTTCTTATTGTAATATTTTTTTCGAAATACGTGGTCCCATAATTTTTTTTTCGGGAAAAATTGACAATAATTCAATCAGACAACTGATTACCCTCAATTTTTCGTTTTGCACCATTTAGCACCAGTTGCAATTTTCCCCAAATTTTTTTCCCGAGGAAAAATCAAGTTTCCTAATGTATATGCGCGTGTATGTGTACAATTTTCGGAACATTGCTCATAATTCAAAGTGTTAAACACCGGTTTTGGCGACGACGGGCGACTTGGATGACGACGACGACGGTGACAGTCGTTAGGTTGAACCCAAGTGGAATTCCTGGAAAAGGCAGTCGGGTGGCATTTACACGAGAGTAGACGACCATCAGGACCTTTCATAAGATGTTTTTAGTGGTTTCCATCTAGACTATGCGTTACAAGACTGCAAACATGAATATCGATTGGGTAAGCAGTGAATGAGATTGGGAAAACGGTCGGTTATCCCTAGGCTACCTTACAAAGTAGTTTTTTACAGCTTGGTACCATCGTAATCCAGTGGATCCTTGACTTTTCCAGCCAACTGATCTCATGCTGCCTTCTTTTCATATTATTCCTTGAAATTTCCAAAACTCGGTCCAATACAAAATATTTCGAGAGTTTTTTCTTGGGCTTCAGCTTTTTATAGCGCAAGCATTGGGCTTGGGCTAGGAGCTCCGTTTGGAACTTGTGCACGGTCCACTAGACCTAATCCCGTTCCGGTTTAAGCCGTTAATCCTTTCGAGACGGCCGTATAAAGACTGATTTGCTCGCGCTCGTGGATAAAGAAATCGAAATGAGCTCTAACCTGCTTTATTGTGTAAACCACAGCTACAAGGAAGTTGGATAATTGGGCCTAGCGACACTCCATAGACCATAGATTCAGTTCAGATTCCTTACCTCTTCAGATCGGGTAACTTAACCTAATTTAATCTGGTCTATAAGAGCGGAGGAGTAAACACTGGTAAAATTTCTGAAGGTAATGGTAAAAAGTTTTAATAATTGGTAATCCCACCTCTTCCCGTTGTCGAATCATTTTGTTCTTGTCAAATGGCTTGTACAACTATACAACTGGTGTGTCCCGTCACATCGCCCAAATGGGAGGAGAATGATTATAAATGGTAATCGAATGCGTGGAGCATCTCAAAACTGGGAACGGCAATCAACGTGGACCGTCTTGTTCCATTTCTGATATTCACGGAGCTTTCTCACCCATCTGTCCATAATTTCATTTATTTGATACTGTACTTTTTGGAAATTCCTCGCTTTTGTTTCCTGGGAAATCGGCCTGCCCCAGAGTTTTTAATCACTTGGTCCCGTTAAATTTCTGTGGGCCTACCAACTATGCCTCATCCAATTCATTTCAGTTGTCTACGAGAGGACGCCACGCGGTGCTCTAGGTCCCGCCGACCATCTCTACCGGTTCTACAACCACCGCCCATATTGCAGAAGACGATGAGCAGTGTTGGACATGCAAAAGCTCGGCGACCTTCGTTAGTCGAATTTCATGATGCTATGGTAAGTTCTTAGTCGCTTCGATTTCTTCCATTAAACCACGACGCTCATGTCGTCGTGTCGTCACAAACCGGGCTATGTCTATGGTTTAAGGGAGGATGACCTTGATGACCTAGGTCTTGATTAATTGAGCGTAGAAGAAGAAGCCGCCCCATCAGCAGTGAAACCCGCAATTTCCACTTTCCCCCCTTTTTTGAAAGGATGATGTTGTTCGAAACGACGAGGTGTAGGATGAGCTCGGTGACGATAGTTTTTCGAAACCGTTAGTGGTTCTCTCCGTCTGTGCTTGGCCATGTCATTTGCATCCGACGTGTCTTTCGATGCCCTTGTTCTTTCCAGTTGAAATTTCCCCCAACATTTTTCTCTGCTTTCCCTGGCAATAACAGTTTTTTGTTGATTTTCACCAGGTAGGATGTATTCCCTTGTCTCCGTATATGGGCGGTTGAAGGAGTGTGTGAGAGAAATGGTCTGCAGAAATGTCAGGACGATGATTTGTGTCGGGAACGAGCGTCATTTTTTTCCCGGTACTCGCCAGGATGGGCGAGTTTTATGAGGAGTCGTCAATCGCCCGTCCGTCCGACGATGGTTGAAGTTCAATTGTCGACCTGGGGTACGATCTTCAGACGTCCGCGGAAGCTGACAGCTGAAGCAGCAGCAGCAGCACTTCCATATTTGTGTAGCGATGTTGTCATCGAGTTCAACAGTCCAGTCATACGTAACATCTGACGATTTGACGATGCCAGCTGCCGTCTAAGCGGTACGAACGACAAAACAATGATGAGCCGTAGAGCGACATTGTCGACATCGGCAAGCAGCAACAACGAAAAAACTTGATTCACCTCTTCCGACGTTCTGACGACAAAAACGGTTTATGTGTATGGTGTGTGTGTGCGTGTCGCTCGAGCGATTGGTGGATTATTGATCTTAACCATTCATTAAATACCTCTTTCTGTCTGTTTTTCCACCCTCAACAATTTACTTCCATCTATGGGCACCGTTGTTCCAGAGATCACCGCTAAAGGGCATTAGTTGTCATTCAAATTTCAGCTTACACTTGTCGAGAATTCATTGCCCTACAAGGGCATTCAGCTGCCTTTTTTTTGGTCACACAACCTTTTCGCTTTTCTCGTTGACATTAGCTTTTTGTTTCTGTGTTCGAACACCGTTGTTTTGTGTTGGGTGGGTATTTGCTCGGCCGTCGGCCACTGTCGTCAACCGTCCCATCGAGCGGTAAGGTCCTCCTATCAAACGCCTTATCTCACCCAGGGNTGAAAGGCGACGAATGGGGTTTCTTTGGATTTTTGGTGGTTTTGACGACTTCCACATCCGATTCTTCAATATTAGTCCATATCGTGTCAGTCATACCAAACCGGCCGACACAGATCTTCGGCGTCTATTTTTTCCGATGGCGGCGAAAGACTGAAATCCAACCAGACTCGATGAACCATCATTTTTATGTTTTTCACACTTTCACACTCATTTCATGGACCTTTCCAATCATCTCTTTCCTTTGCTTACACACTGAACATTTCCTTTTTTGTGTTGTTACTTCAGTGGTCACTACTTCCTTGGTGGTTACCCCAGTAACTGCAATAACTTGTTGATTTATTCTTACATAAAACCTACGCTTGACGGCTTTTTTGAGTAAACTCGATTTTCGTTGCCATAGATCTCAAGAATTTGATACCTTCTATTACCTCTATCCTTAACCAGTTTATTGGCGTTTACTTTTTCCAACTATAGCTTATCCAGCCTTACCTGATACTTTTACAACGCCGTATGATAACCACCAATTTACTCGACACGATCTCGTACGGGATTCTCGTCCGGGAATCTCGTCCTAGCCACTCAAAAAGCTGCCGTAAAGTCGGAACGAAATAATTATAGGGCTTTTGGTCGAAATCTTGGTACATATTATTACGATTGACTAAATCTTTTGTATAAATATTAATTTAAATATAATTGGACTGGTCGATCAATCCCCCTCAAAGCCTGGAAAGGCGAAAAACACTGAAGAACTGTGTTCTTGGCTAAAAGTTTGTTACGCTTATAGAGCAATTTTGGGCCCTACCCAGGGAATCCTCATTACTCCAAAGCTATCGCTTATTATAGAGCCCCAATAGAGGTTCTTGGACGGGTCATTTGTCAAGGGAATTCGGAGTTTTCTCCTTTAAAGTCGAACTAGAACCTGGACAGGTGGTTTCTGAAGTGGATTCAGGAAGTTTACCCGGAAGTCGGTAGAGTGTTTTGATGGAGAATTTCTAAAGTGGATCTGAACTTTTCTTCTGAAACGAATTAGTGGTTGGACGAGTAGTTACTGACGTGGATCCAAGAAGTTTTCTCAAAATCGACCTAGAAATCGAACGACTGTCCCCTAAAGTGGAGTTAAGCTTTATCTGAGAGTTGCAGAAGCATTTCAACGAATACTCACCGAATGGGACTCGAAATTTTCTTTGTAAAACGTTGGCAAAATAAGTTATTGTTGTCAAACTGGGTTGCCAGCTGACTTAGTACCAAAATCTGCCCTGAAAGGGTAATGCCATGATTCATAAAGGGTTAAACTTGAACTTCTGAGAAAGTCCTTCAGCTACATATGTTATCGTCAAGTAATAATTTTGATAAAATAAAAATGAAATAAAAGTAGATGATCGTAAAAAAACGATAAAATAAATAAACAGGACCTAATACTCGGCCGAGATTTTTGTGGGGAGGGAGTGTCGAATACGTTGATGGTATATAGGGATTTTGAGGGCTCTGAAAATCAGGTCGGACCAAATGGGATCAATCAAGAGGGAGTGGTATAGGTAAATCGAATGGGGTGTTCATGGAAGATACCAGCTCTCCTATCATTATGGGGTCGCATTTAGGCCTATATGAAAATAAAGATTTCCTCGATCAACATAGGCAGGAGGGAGATTCGAAGCTTTTTGAACCCGAACATATATGAGAAAACACAATGGAAATCATATAAATTGAATTTCGAGATACGTTCAATATATTACGAATGGGCGAATGTAAAAAGTTGTGATAATGGATGATAATTGTTTCGAATAGTTTTTATCATCTGTGAATTATCGGAAGGGATACCATAATGTCAAAGAGAATCAAAACTGGTTCAAATTCGATTTTCGGAAAAAACATTGGCGTGCAGGATTGTTCTTGCGACTGCGGTTGATTAGTTAATCGAGGCCCCTTTCGGTTTGGACGGTGACACGTTCACGAATTTTCGATTTACTTTCTTCACTCGTCACTATTCCAGACGATAATCCCATTGTCTGGAAGGAGCTTCATTTTTTCTCCTCATTCGACGATTTTAAGCTGATTACGTTAATACCATGATTCTTGGACTTATCAAAATGATAAGTCGTGATTTTTTTAGGCAAAGATTACTTCATAAGCCAATTTTCGGATTAGTTCGGAAGCTACTTTGTATAGTCAGCGTTTTTCTCGAGAACGGTAGATTCGTTCAATTATCCCCTCAGATTTTAGCCCAATTTCTGAGACAGAAGAAGATTTTACTATAAAAATCTGGTGAAAACTTAGAAGGAAGGTACTTTCTATCACTGTCGACTGTAGGTTGACCGAAAAACGACTGAAAATACTTGGAAAGCTAGTTTTTTCTTTGACTTTCCTTATTTTTTGGGCCTCTTGTGCTGACTGAAATTGAAATCGTTCAGTTATTTTTATCGAGCTCAATCGATTGCCGGAATTTGCAAATTTTGTTTTGTAGATAGACAATTCAGATTTCCCATATGATTAGCATATCATTACCAAAACTTTTTGCCATTCTGAATTGCATATGCCAATAATATTGTTCAGCTTTAATTCAAACTTTTGAATCACCACTAAATTTTCTAATTCACTTTTCATCTCCTGTGATATTTATGCTGCTGCTTCACCTTTGTGAAACTGACAAATCCTGTTTTTTTCTTATCCCAATTGTTTTCTTGATTTTCCAAAAATGCTGAATAAAAACCGATAAAGAAGTGGCGAGTAGGGTCATTCTTCATAAGAAATTCAAAGAGTTACGTGGGAATAAAAAGCAAAACTTCAAAGTCTTTTGTTCCAAGGAGCCCACGATTTTTGATAGGGATTTTTATTTTCCAAAATCCAAAAATTCACATAGTGCTCAAGACAAAGCTCGCAACCTTCAAAACTTGGGAGTCCCACATTTCAGAAAATCCCTTTTTCAATGAAACGCATATATAGGAATAGCTTGGAGTAAAAGTTTGAAGCTATGACGCTTTGGTCGATTACGATTCTCGAAAAGGCTTTCTATGGTTAGAAATTTCGATTATCATGTAATCAAGTTTGGAAAGGGTTATGAATGGGCTATAAATTCAAAAGCTCTCACGATGTTGAAAAAAATCGTTGACGATTGAAAATTCAACGAAATAATGGAGGCCTAGAAAAAAGCTTCAAACTGAGAAATTCTAGGCTTTATGTGACATTTGTATTTTTGAATCATCAGGTTGCTGGAGTTTCTTAAACGCCGTTGTTTTCTGATGATCTTTTAGGCCGAAAATTAATTTTCGTTTTGATTTCTTCTCGAACATGAATGGTCATACCGCTGTACTCATGAGCCAAGGTTGTAGATACGGCTGGCATTCTCCCACGGTCATAATCCTCTGCCTTCGCCTTTTCTTCTCGTTGTCTCTCGCATCATTCCGTTCATGTCATGAATCTCCTCCGTGTATTTTCCTTTTTCTGACAACGATAATTGCTCTTCAGAAAGCAAACATTCATGTGAAGTCCTTCCATGATGTCCACAGTAAAGAAAAAATCGTCATTCAAGCGTCAACAGATGCTGTACAATGATGCTTCGATTGTGGCAAGGGTAAGGGGCTCTGTTCCGTTCGGGGCACTGCCTATCAGACCGGCTGGCGGTCGGTTGCTATCTCTCTTGTTCGACAATGAGGGACGCCAGAAAATCGCAGAACAGCAGTCGAACGGAGACGATCCATATATTCTCCTTCCCATCTATTTTGATCGGAACACCCTTCTTCGGGCGATAATGACCGACCCACCCCACAGACAGACCATATGAAATATAGGTTCGCATAATGTTTACCTGTGTTTCCACCTAAGAATCGGGTCAATTATATCCGATTCATTTCCAAGGACACATCGCAACTCTCACCCCTTGCGACACAGGGTGAGGGCCCAACGAACTGGAGTTACTGGCGTTGAATGAAAAATGAATAGAAAATTACTTCCAGAATTATTGCCCCTTAGGGTACAAGCTGTCGGAAGTTCACCGATAGTTTAAAGAGCGACTAAGATTGTTTTTTATTTTAGCGCTACCATGCTGTGGATATCGATGGACCGCCCTACTTGGTGGCACATTTTCCGGTAAGCCAGTAACATTACGTACTAGTATGAGTACTGCCTTTTTCTCATAGCTCCAGTCTCGATTTCCAGGACTGTGGTGACACTACGGAAAAGATCCCGCTCGAACCCGGACTGAAACTCTATCAAGTTTTTGAAGGTAAGTGGTTTTTCCTGGTTTGTGCCTTCGGAAATACGTGTTTGATCGAATGTCAGGGAATTTCCTGGAATGGAGGTGATGCATTGTGTGCATGAACGTTTTTGGCACTGGCCATGTTGATAGAGGGTGATTATTTCGGGCGAAACGTTAGACAAATATAGGAGGTTGAAGGTGATACAGCGGCATTTCCCTTTCCCTGTCACTGAAATCGAAGGGGCCAACTGCCTTCTCCCGTCTTTATTACTCCTTATTACTTTAAAAAGGTATAACCGATTCAAAAAAGGATACAGTAATCGATCTTTATTCAGAAAAGAAATGAAGGGCTCATAATAAAGTACGAGGTGACGATCACAAGCAGTGCCCTCCTCCCTATTTATCATATGGCATTCAGGAGAATTGTTTTTATTATTTCAAGGATTTGCATAAAAGAAAAAAGTGGTGCTCAAAACAGTTTTGGACTCGGTCAGTTGGATCAGGGAGTAGCACTACTCTAGGGACGATAATGGGACGAGCATAAGGAACCCTATGTCTGACTCCTAGATTCATAATGAACCTTATGCCGCTCTAAAGCTATGCCTCGGTCCAATTCTGTGATCGCGCAGCTGATTGGAATGGTCTATCNCGATTCAAAAAAGGATACAGTAATCGATCTTTATTCAGAAAAGAAATGAAGGGCTCATAATAAAATACAAGGTGACGAACAGAAGCAGTGCCTCCCTTCCTATTCATCATGTGGCATTCAGGGAAATTGTTTTTATTCCAAGGATTTGCAGAAAAAAAGAAATGAGTAGGGGTGCTTCATACAATTTTTGACTCGTTCAGTTGGATCAGGGAGTAGCACTACTTTAGGGACGACAATGGCACGAGTATAAGGACCTTGTGTCTGACTCTTAGATTCATAATGAACTATATGCCGCTCTAAAGCTATGCCTCGGTCCAATTCTGTGATCGCGCAGCTGATTGGAATGGTCTATCAAAGTACAACGGGTTCTCACCGATTATTTTGTTGGCCACAACTACGCTTCAATGTCCTTCAATTCAAACCATTGTGGAGGCGGATAACAAAAAATTATCAACGCTGATTTTTGAGTGTACCGTACCTCATCAAAGTCGTATGATTACCCCTGATTATAAAGATCAGTCACAGTATTCAATGTTTCCTTGCCTCGAGAGAAAGAACCACAAGACCAATTCCTGATTACTAGGTTATTGAATAAGTTCGCGTTACTTTTTCGATTTTCTAGTGCGCTATCATGCAATAAGTAGTGATAACGACATGTTATTGTATATCATTAACAAACGTAAGAGAACAATGACAAATACTCTATCGAATTCTGACAAATTGCATTGCGATGTAACTATAACTTTTTGAATTTTACAGCAAATGATCAGAGGCAAAGTGATAACGAACATATCGAACAGGTTTCGTTTTTTAACTACGCACAGCCCACGATAACAACAGTTTTTGGATTTCTCCCTAAGATGAACCCCAAGGATAGCATAAGGGACGGTGTTGTTTCAAAAAACGGCCTCGTTAGGGCGTAATAAGAGCTCTATAACTCTATATAGCTCTTTGCCAACGCATACAAGGCGTACGAGTTTTCACGGCGTTGTAGAGGCTGTAAAGGTTGCACTATTCCTATTGGGACCCACAAGCTGCCCGCAGGCAGCTTACTGTAGCCAGCTGTACGCAACGATAAACACATTTGAACAGTTCTTCCAAACACCCTTCCATGCAACTTTTGGCGTCAGTTTCTCGTCCAACTACTAATTTTACAATTTTTTTGATGCCTTATACTTCTCAAAGTAAGTCATCTCACGCGTTTCTTCGCTTCCTTTGCACTGAGAAGGCCAAAGACGGGGCGCGAAAACGTACTCAGTGGTAGTTTAAGGAATAAAGATCACGGTGTTTGAAGAGAAGAGTGCGTGTACGAGTTTCGTCGACGTCGAAGTTTTGCCTACAAATCGCTATTCACCAAAACAAAGCTGCTATATAAATAAACGATCTAATTTTCCTTAAATAAATACTAACAAGAACGACAGCAACTCGTCTGACAACTTTATACTTTACTTTGTATGCTTTAATTTGCACTTTCGTTTGATAGAGGCTTGTCAGTGGATCCCGCTACTGAGCGGGATTGATGTTAGAGAGAAGAAATTCAATAGAGCTGTGTGTTCTTCAGAAAGCGAAGCAATCTTGAGAGAAAACCAGTTTTGCAGGTTTAGCCGGGCCCTTCTTTTTGGCTTAGCTCCACGTCATAATAGCAGGCTTCAATCTTTTCGTCATAGATTTGCCTATAGGTTGGGATAGCTGACAGCTGAATGTTGCCATTCGTTCTCAAGCTGTCCGTCCAATTGTCATTTTCTTTGAAGTTTGCCCATTTAACGAATTCTTGATGCATTCTGTCTTTTCTATTCAAAAATGATTTGGGACCATTTGTTTGCGAGCCCTCGTAGCATGTGAGCTTCGAGGGAAAGATCGAAAAGGATGGGTTATGGGGGAGGGAGAGGTGCTGAAGCTCGGTTTCAAGGCTTACATTGTCGAATGTGATGAATGCATGGGTCAATTTACTTGGTTTTCCTTCGAAGACGGAATTTCTGACTATTGATAGACTTCATCAAACGCTCTTATGACATGGGTCACTGGAAGGAGAGAAGGAGGGGTGAGGGGAGGGGGCAATTCTGAGTTTTATGAGGACCACAAGTTTTTTTCTGATTTTACGGGAGAACACTTTATTTACTTATACTACTTACAGTATTTTCCGTTACTTGGGATGTAGCCCAGGAGCTCCCGCCAGGGTTCGATTCCCGATTCTGTCTATGAAGTGGAACATTTTAAGATTTTACGCAAACTTTAGCAACGACTGATTTATGCTAGGCCGAACTGGTAAGATAGGTGAAGTTTGTAAATTCTGAAAGGATTGTAAAGCTTTTGCACCATTTTGTGATTTAAATATCTATGAACAATTTTTATGGTCAAAAATTGGTCTCACACGACCGCAGAGGTTACTTGAGTATTATCCAGTTTACCAGAATGCTCTATCTGAAGGTTTTTCATAATTACTAAGTGAAAAACAAGTATAGAAACAGCGCTAAGCAGACGTTACATGAAGCTGTAGCCATTTTTATTGATCGAAACGATTGAGCGAAACTCGAGTGATTCAAAAGGAACAGCCAGCTACCTCAAGTGGCTGCTTACGCAAGTGTTTTCCTTCCAGCAATACCTACTTTTTGTCCGAATTTGGAGACTTCAAATACTTCTACATGGCGTTTTACTTAATTTTGATCAATCGATCAAATTCCTGTCAATATCCATCAGTTCTTCAAATTTCTCTTTTTACCGCAGCCGTTTCTAGCTGTGTAGCTGTAATAGTGTGAAAATTCTTACTGCGTACTTTAAATTGTAAAATTACAACTGTACACTTGAAACTATTTTTATATTCTTTGTACGACGACCACTGAATAATTTAGGGTTACTCTTTCGGTATTTACTGTTGTTTCTTTCCGGATGCGCCTACGCACACGGCTTCCATTTAGAATCGCAGTAGCATTTGAATGCGTATTTTCCCTACACAAATGCTTGTCGGGAGCAATTCTGTTCAAGATAAGGTTTTTGTTCTTCGGGACGAGTCTTGTATCAATTCATTCCCCCTCCCGAATCCTCATGCCCCTCTTCTCACAAAGAACCAAAATCTGGCTGTCGATACCGGTCATGAATCCAGGGATTATAGGCATGGTAGCGAGACATTTCTTCGCGCTACCTCATCTGATCCCGTTAAGGGAATCAGCTGTTGTAGCGTAAATCAGCTGCAGACCTCAAGTGCTGTCATCGACGTCTTCTACAGGCCTAAAAGCCAAACTAAAAACAAATGGAATCTCTGTATAGACCAAGTACGTATTCCAATGTCTCCACAATTTTGAATGAAAGTCGAGTGCGTGTGCGCATCCAGAGAAGGGACCCTTCAAACCCACGAAAGTCACCGTTTGTCAACTAATGTTTGCGAAAAAGGAATCAAAATTTTAACACTGACCGGTTCCAGTTTGGGATTCGTCTCCATTATTGCCCTCGATTTAGAAATATTATGGCATTTTGATGTGAATTCAGCCTATGAAGTAAATTTCATGGCATAGTGGAACTTATGTCGATCTTTTTCTCCTTCGATATGACTCTAGCATGTTTAAGTCGTCCCAGAGCAAGTGGAATGTCTGGTTGGCGCATGAGACTCAAAGGTCTACTCATCTGCCTACCAGCCTTTCCAGCTCACCTTGGTCCAGGGATGGGGAGCTTGGAAGACTGGTAGGCATTACTGGGCCTTTACCCACGCATTATTATGAAACGAGGGCCTTAAATGACCCCAGTGAATTGTCTTTCGACAAACTATTGTAACATCATTTCGGTTCGCATCAGGAATGCATAAAGTTTTTCTAAGATGGATCACATTGAAGCCGTGGGCCCTCGTAAATTTCAAATTGCCTCGGGAAACAGGATGGGCTGTATTTCTCGTGAATTTCTGATCGCTCGCTCTAGTGTCTTTCTCCGCTTGAGTGAACGGAACCCTTCTCATCCCCGTGGGACCTTCATCGTCAGGGATGCTGTACTTTGACATCCATTGGTTTCAGAGGGTTCACAAGTAGCACTTCGATCATCAGTCATAGAATCAAGTTCAAACTTTATCTGGTACTCTGAAACCCTTTCATTTTTAGATTTCACTTACTTGCTGTCCTCCTTGATTATAACAAAACCCTATAGACTTCTTTTTGTGGCCTCTAGCATCAATTTTACTCAACTGATTGTGAAATGGGATCCCCACGCCTGTAGAGGTTTGGAAAAAGATTGCTCCCTCATGGTTTTTTAGAATGCAAACTTTGCTACGGAACCAGAGTTCATGAAGCTCCTTTCGTCGTTACATGTCAGAAACAGCAAATTTTCCGAAACGAAAAACTCCCAGAACACTCGACTAAGCTCCAGAAATCTCAGTGGAACTTGTTTTAGTTGCTTTCAGTTGGCTTAAAGTGTCCTGCAAACGCTCAAGTTTTTACACAAACTGCTTGTAATAATTCATGGAGTTATTACCTTTCATTTTGACCCCTAAAC